GCCCCCCCCCCCCCCCCTGAGAAGTATCCCCTATTTATTCCCGATGGAACGCGTGTCGATTTATAATATTCGATTATTTATTCCACAACGCGATACGCGGCGGGGTAGCATCGCTGGGCATCCTCTTGGCCACCTATCGTTACGATGGCCGTCGTTACGCGTCGATTCTCACGACACACGGCCAGCTCGTGCGTCTCTCGGATGTACGCGTCGGTGATAAGTCTGTCGTCATCGCAGACCATGGTTGCTGATGGTTTATCGAACGGCGAGCGCAAAGGGTTAACACCTCTCCGCTGGTCCCAAGGTCGTTCAGGCTGATTACCTTGAGGCTGGCGTTCGTTTTCGAAGGGAGTTGCGACGAAGGGCTTCCGACTCTTTCTGCGTGCAATCTTTTTTCTCACAGAGGAACTCGTCACGAGGACGTGGCTGTGTGCGTGCCTGTCTCTCTCTTTCTCTCTCTCTCTTTCTCTCTCTTTTTCTCTCTCTCTCTCGTTGCGTGTGTGTCTCTTGCGGCGTGGTTGATTTCTGAATGCAGGAAAAAAGGGAAAAAAAGAAAACAGAAAAAGAAAAAAAAAAAAAGAAAAGAATACGTGGAGAATCAGTACGGAGGTCGAAGGTAAAGAATACGATCCACCGTGTCCGGTGTATTATCCTTGGACAGGGATAACGTCGCGACACAGGTGGGTACCACTCAGTACGCCCGTTTTGGGCGACCCCATACCCATCCCGCTCCCTCGTCCCCGGTTTCTCATCTACCCCCGTACACTTTTATATCTTTTCATCTCTCGTTTCCGACTTCTCTCTGTTGTAACATAAACGATTACCCGGTAAAAAAGTAAGTTACCCCTTCGTTTCACACGATCCACGATTTCCCCGCGGTGCGATTCGTCGGAAGGCGTCGAGACGTTTGCTGGGTCCATCCTCGAGTCCTTTCGGCCGGTACGCTTCCTTTCGATCACTATTGCCGTGCTTTTCCCCGATTTCTCTTTTATTTATACGAAGTTTCGAGTAGCGTCACGATCATGTTCGCTCCAATCGACGATCCCGTGTTAACGTATCGATGCCAGTTAACCACCAACGGTATATATTATGGCACGCACTAACACCCAAGTTCTACTAACGTAATGGTAACGATATGGTACGATAATGCTGCTAGTATTATTACTATATTCCCGTGGTATCAGTAATACTGCTACAATGTTGTTAACGATGTACTAACCGTAGTGTTAATGTTACCCCGCGCTAACCATGGTATTAAATCGGTATTATATACCGTTGTACTGTCGTTAGCGCGTTAACGATGCACGTGAACGCGTCGCTGCGTTGACACGCGATTTTCTTATTAACGAGTGACGGTCGAAGGACGAAGAGGTCGACGCGTTCGAGATCTCGTTCGGAGGTACGTCCTGCGAGTTCCGAGCGCGCAACGTTGACGATTGTCGTCCGAGGATGGAAAGGAGGAAATAAACAACGAGGAAGAAGCGAGTCAGTGGAGATTTCGTTGGAGAAAAGGGAAGAAACTACTCTTTCCTCTCTGTTCTCACGATTGCTTACCAGCGCCGGTCGCCGAAGCCTCGAGCTGCATCCGATCCACGGATCCACGATCGATGGACGAGCCAGCGCGCGGAACTATTCGCTGTTGCTCCACTCGTCCCGCCATTTCTTCTTTTTCCCACTTTTTCTCTTTGTTTTGCATTTTTCCTTGAAGGAAATGCAACGGTAAAGAGGAAGGAGATCGTTCGATAGTAGAAGTCGCTGCATCCTTTGCCGATGCAACCCAGAGTGGCTGAAAGAGGAAGTTAGGTGCAATAGCGAGAGTAGGCTCGTTATATTTAGGTATCGAATTTGAAATTTCGCGAATTATTTTTGCTATGAAATCTTTGTAATTAGATCTTTTTTACTCGGTAGAAAAGATTATTTTTCTATAGGAGTGTAGGCTCGTCATAAGTATTAAATTAGATGTTTATCGTGATACGAATTCGACATTTTTCCGAGCTTCATTCCCGAGGGAAAAATTGTATTTATCATAGTTTCTCATTTTGATGGGAGAAATGGAAATTAATAATCGCGAAGAAATTGTTGAGCTCTTTGATGTTATCGAGATTGAAAATTTCTAAAAATGTGAAATTTTTATTGTTTTCGTGTTTCTCCTACTTTTATTATTTTAACGAATTACTTCGGAAAGATGGAATATTTTGTTACAGTTTTTTGTTCTTATAAGACAAATAAGAATTAATAACTGTTACGATGAAATCGTTGAATTCTTTGGTAATGTTATAATTGAATAATTATAGCATTGTATAGATTCGTTGTAGATATGAAATTTAAGATTAGAATTTTATCGCGATACGAAACTCAAATTTTTACTCTTAATGCTCACTAATCGTGTTTTCCTTCGTTATTAGAGGAAACAATTATATTTCGTTATAGATTCTCATTCTGATAAGAGAAATGAAAATTAATAATTTCTGTGATAATCCTCACAGCTATAAAATTAACATCTCCACTAGTAAACATAGGAAGTAGTATATAGGAAATATATATATATAAATATATTTTTTATTATCAAAGATCACGTCGTAGATCAATTGCAATTTGACTGCAATAACGAGGAACATATGTCAATTACATGGCTTGAAAAATTTCTATAGCAGTTGCTGCGAATGAAAAATCTCTTTACTCGCGTATACATATCTCTTTACCCATAGAGCAATACGATTTTTGGACAAACGGATTTTACCACTCGAGTATAGTCTATTTTATATACCTAAAGTACGATACTTTTACGTAAAGAGATATTTTTGATACGAAATTTATATTCCCGCGCTTCGAATCATTCGAGACCCTGGACGAGTGCCTTTTTCGATATTCCCGCGTTCGATATTCCGATGGAAAAATCGAAAAATCCCCGATCTGACACGCGCCCTTTTCAGGACGCTTGCAGCACCGCGGAGAATCTCGGAACGATCGACGCACGATCGATTCGTCCTAGAACACGCGAACACGCCTTCGCTTTCTCTGTACCCTGTTCGAGCGAAAGTAGAGAAAAATCCGAGGAAGAGGAAAAGAGAAATAAACAGAGGAAAAAGCGAGGAAACGAGGAGGAAGTGGGAAAATGGCGGTCGTGGATGGCTCGAGGCTCAAACGTTTGCGCGGCTGGTTCTGGTGATTTTGGTCCCATATATCTATGATATATTAAACGTTGTATGTTCCATGAACGATCTAGCATGTAAGTTTCACTCTAGGTATAAGTATCATGGCGGCTCACGTGAGCCGTCTATTAAGTTACTCGAAGAGATTCCCCTCTTGTGCCCCACCCCTCTTTACCAACCCTTCTCCTAACATTTCTCCGAATGACGGTTAACCCCGTCAGTCGTCGTGCTAATCCTTAACCTTCGTTAATTGCTCTTTTTATTAAGATTTATTTAAACCCTTAAATATTACGAAATTCCTCGATCACCGGGCTTCGATCGTGTTCCTTGTACATTTCACCTCTCTCCATTTTCCCTTCTCCGTATTTCTTCTGCTCCACCCGATTTTTCCAATTTCCGGTTAAATATCGAACGATTCAGAGAATCTTGGTACCAGCTTTCTCAGCTAAAGTTTGGAGTGTTGCTTTTCGTTTATCAGGATCACTATTGAAACGTGATCGAGGAGCTTCTTGGGGGAAGAACGTTTCTAGAAATAGACCTTTTCTCTCATTATCGCGTTCTTATTGCGTATTATTTAGTATAGTGTTGTTCTATGTTCATTTTCTATCAATTTCGCGGTTTTGGAAGGAAGAAAGGTGTCGATCTTGGATATCTCGAAATACGATTCTCGCGGAGGGACTCTTCTTCCAAGCAGCTCCTCGATGACCATGCAACGCTATTTATGACCTGGAACCTCGAATAGAAACGGAGAGAAGGTTCGATTCAATGATTATTTCACTTTTCAACAAATTTACGAGGATGAAAATGAAATTTGTTTGAACTTTTCGTGGTACGTAATCATTTTCACAGCGAAGATCCGATACTTGTTCGTTGCCTCTAACTAGGCGTTAGCATACGAAATATTATATAAAATTTGAAACAAGGGAGGTTTCTCGAGTTCCATAACCGATTTTGAAATTTTCGAGGAAATATGGAAGAATAAAATTCGTGAATTAGATACACGCGATTGGAATTAGAAAAAGATCGATCCAAATATTTTTTGAAAATCTAGTCGATCTATAATTTGTCCCAGATTTTTTCTTCCCGAGACTTGAAATTGAAACGTAATTATATTCGCCTAATCACTACCAACGTGTACGATATTCGTGCACTCGTTACAAGGCAGTAGTTCGAACGACAAAATTTTCCTCTTGGCAGATGGCGCGTCGTACGTCGAAAATCCGCGTACCTTCCCACGAAATATTTAAAACCACAAAAATGAAAAAAAAAAAAAAGAAGGAAGAAAAAGGAACAATAATATATCTGTTTCGTAGGAAATTTTAAATATAACGATTGACACGAACGGTCATACTCGATGATTTCTATATATCTCCATTCGTTCGATATTCCCCGAGAAATCCCCTAGATCGAAGTCCGTGTGGACAGTTGGAATTTGTCACGGTGTATGTTTATTTAATGCAATTCTACTTTTATGATTATTTAAGAAACTGACGGTTCCACTAACATCCCGATCATTTCCGCTCACCGATATCGGTTGTATTATTAATTATTATTATTAATATTATTATTATTATTATTATATATATATTTTTTAATAATTATTTATTTAACTGAGTTCGTTCGTAATCGTATTAATATATTTTATATACGTACGTTACATTGTTAGAAAGTTGTTCTACGTATGGTCGTCGAGGTCGTCGTGGCGTGGCATGCCGTGGGACTGGTTTCAATTTCGCGTTTCGGCGTCTGTGTTCTTACGCGTGGGACACGTTCGAAAAATAATTGCGCGACAAGCAGGCAGAAGAG